CGTTAGCAAACTATTCACACCTATGAGGATCCTTCGATTATCGTAGTGTTATTAAACTTTCTAAGTTATGATTCCATGGCCTTTTAACTCTCAACTGCTGCCTATTCTTTCTTTCTAGCAGGGTATTTTTTGAAATACAAGCAAAAGGTTGCTGAGACTTAAGTGAAACTCGGAACATCAGATGCGCTTCGAACCCACGTTCAACCGTTCCGTGGGCTCAGGTGTTATCCGCTGCATCAACTGAAGCCCTTCCTTTTACTTTTTCTAAACCAGTTTTCTACTTTTGCGGTCCTATCAGCAATTAATATCATACCGTTTAACGCGAAACAGTTTCAAGTTGATGTCTTCCGATCGTTGAGCTTTCGTTCTTTGTGGTGACCTCCATGGCGCTCCGATCTATATAGATACTTTGAGCAGAAGCGTGTGTTGCACAATACTTACAGGTGCCTTACAATGCACACTAGACCGGTCTTTGGCTCGAACGTCTGAGTTGCCAAATTGGTACCAGACTTGCTTGGCAGGAAACACTGATTTGATACATCGGAAGGCAGCAACAAGTTATTGCATAGTCTGGATATGCATTCATTCACTTCCAGCAGGGCTTCTTGAGGTTCACCGTACATCGGATTGCTTGAGGATTGCTGATTGACGCCGAACCCTTAATCCCTTCTATCGTTTATACGTGAAAAGTAATGAAAAGATAAATACGGTATTCAATAAGGTGCTAAAAATCGGAACTGTGAGGGTTAAAAGAACAGATTTATTTCTCGCGTACTTATGCTCGCTGTTTAGTCCGTTACCATCAGCAACGGAGATACTAACGAAAAAAACTGGTAGCTTTATTTCGAAGAACTTCACGGATATTTTCGACTATCTTGAAAGTTTAGACACGCTTCAAAGCTTTCAGTTGAGTTACAACTACAACGATGCTGAGATATTCTCAAAACTTGGACCCTGGACCAGATGAAAGGCTAACATTGTGATTTTGACTACGGACTCAGCTTAACTGGATTCAAAGCCGATTTATGATCACCAGATCAATTCTGCTGACGGATGGTTGCTGATAGCAGCGTTAGGTAGAATACCAATTGAGAGAAACGCAGGGTAAAGACCTCCGTGGTGCAGTGTGTAATGGGTGAGTCCCGGAAAATGAAATCGTGGTTTGATCTGATCCGGGGTCCAAGTTTTGCGAATAGCTCAGCAACGCTGTAATTGTAATTCGCATCATACCCTGCCGTGAAAAATTATAGTAGAAGGTAAGTAAAAGCCTAACACTGTGCTTTCAAGAGAATTGAACTATAATAGTATTCCCCGATATAAATATTCATGACTAATGGAAAGTTTTAACAGACTCTTGGTACTAACTCAACCTGTCGCAATATGTTGGCATGTTGACAAGCTTATACGATGCTGGTAAATCGTTGAATGTAGTTGATATTCCTGGTCATTAACAATCTTTAAAAATGCAATGAGTTGAACATCTACAATACAGTAGATGAAAGATACAACGATGAAGCCCTCAACGTTACGCTTCCCTTAGAGCTGCGCCATGCATTCGACCCCATTCGTACACGCTAGAGATGATTGCACGCATATTTCGCCTGTATTTGCGGTTGGTTTTCACTCTGTTAAGTCACTGGTTTGTTGTACAACCAGACATGACTGGTTTCAATCTGCCAACCATGGGCTGCTGAAGAGATTGGTCTCTCTATGAGGTTTTCCCTGTTATATGTAATCGCAACGATTCGAGTTGGGTGGAACGGAGCATCAAACACTTCGTATTAATCACATTTAGGCTTATCAATAAAAAATCTGAAAATTCAAGTCATACATGAGTTGGTTTTGGAGCGAGTCTATTACGTTTACGCTGGTTCACAAGTGGTTTTGGTATACAGTTGACAGAATAACCTCTGATGAATGCACTTCTTTGAATGCAAAAATAATGATACCTGTCATTTTCTTCTAGTCCACTGTAAATTCAGCGAAAACACATTGATTTAAGAACTTAGAAAATTAAAAATCTAAAGGTTTAAAAAGCAACCTTTATGTTCTTTATTAAGTCTTTATTAAGGGAGCATAACCAACAAACAATGTGATCACCTTGAGCGTACCCCTACACCTCTTATCACTCACTTCCCCTAAAACTTATACAACTGACGAAGGATTTCAATGAATTGCTTAAAAGATGTTCAGGATTGTAAAGAATGTTGTCCACAATTTTTCGTCCACTAAAGAAATAGGGAAACTGTATTTACAACTTATATTATAATTCAAGAGCGCGTGTGGCGCAGTGGTCGGAGGCGCCCTGCAACACGCACGTGGAATCTATCCACGTACCCATGACCCACCAAGCCATCCATCCCTCCGGGGTTGGCAAATTGGTACCACACTTATCTGGGAGGATAGAGCACTGGTTCGATACATCGGTAGGCCATCTCGAGTCGTTGTAAAGGCCAGATATGCATTCAATCACCTCCAACGATACCTAATGAAGTCGAATGCATGGCGCATCCCTCAAGGATTCATCAACACCGAGGGCTTTATCCTCCTTATCTTTTAATGATAACCCAATGAGCTTGACTAAGAGGTGAATATGGAAGGTTTCTACAGATTTCTTTTGCGCAACAATTTTGTTAAGAGACGTAGGAACAGAAACCGTTTAGAAGTACACGCAAGACCCTATTTTGACCTCAATGCTTGTCTCCTTTCTTTTTGTTCAAAACATCGTCAGCTAACTCTCTTTGATTAATGAAGGATAGTGCCTGCTTGTAGTGAGGACCTCAAAACCTCCTATCACAGCTGTTCTGCGATCCAGAATGAGTTAGCTCGACCCGCATTTGGCGACGTTTATGAAGGAGGCAAGAGATCGTTAAGAAGTGGTTGAACTTATATGCAAATCGACAAGTCTTTGTGGATGATGGATGAGAATGAATGAATGGAATACAGAAAATGCTACGGTCTCTACAATGTGTTATGTAAAAATCACTGTTGAATTCGTTGATAGTTGTCAAAGAGGCCACTTAAGAATTATGTGCATAGTATATATATATATATATATATATATGCATATATAAGTATATATATGTATGTATATAGGTACATAGGTATATATATATATTCACATTCATTTAGTGACCTGATCGAAAGCACCCCAAAAAGTGCTCGAGACACCCTTCAACACTTAAACGGTGGTTGACTTAACAAACAAGTTTAGTGCTTTGTCATTCGAAGATGGTTCCATCTCATGCGGTTACGCCATGCACAGTTACGCCATGATTAATATCGTAGAAGAAAGATGTAAGGTAAAGCACTAAACAACTCATTGGGGTCTACTTTGTTATCGAAGCAATCGATAACGCCCCACCATATTGTACTTTCACTAGAATTCTCACGAGTTGGTAGAATATTGTATAATTTATATTAGTATTTTCAAAAATGCTAGTCTCATTCCTTTTAAAACTACCCGGACTTTCCAAAGATTTTCATTTATCTATGGTATAACAACGGTGGTCAATTTCTAGGGTTATTGGTAAGCTTAGAAGACGTCGTTTTTAATTCTTCGATAAAATTTTTGTCTTATCGCATTGTTCAAAGCTTCAGTGATTCGAGTAGAGACTCCACAGCTATTCACTCCTGAAATTTGGTCCTGCGCAATCGCATCGAGCCGAATTCAGTGGAGTGGGGCACCGCTCTAACGAAGTAACCTCTCTAGACGAGACCCATCTATAGAAGACGGTTCTTTTTGTATTCCCACTACGTATTTTGCATTTTACAGTATTAAATCAAACAGGACCTAGTGATCTATCGAGATAGTGCTGCTGTCTTTACATGCAAGCCCGCTACTACCTTGTCTACCCCGAATGGATGAAAGCTTGATGAACCCAGAGCTCCAACCAAAGCACTACAGGACCCAATTTCAATTCTACTGTAAATTTTAATTAATCCAAAATGCGTATCATTGTAGTAGGAAGAGGCCCAAACCATTTGTGGGTTGAGCCACCAGGTATGCTGTAACCTTGTCACAGCTGGTTTGCTTTTTATTTCTTGCCGCCTAAATCTTCAAATCATCACTTATTTATCGATTTCTGGAGGTTCTGTTCAAATTTCCTCTTAGAGACTTGTTTTTTTTCTGGTTCTAATCTTCTTCAGTAGACTTCTTTCTCGCTTCGAAAACTATCTGATTATAAGGTGTTTTCAGTTTTGATTTCATTCAACACATTTCCATTTCTACGTTGTGACCATCATATGGTCGAAGAAGATTATCATAAAAGATTCCAATCAATTGTCTAAATACTTCATGATCCGAACTGTAAAGTAATCCGGGGATTGTCTCAAAGAACTATAACATTCTATTTAGGAGAAACGTAATATACAAAACCTCAACTAAACAGCTTACCTTCTCATCTCAACTCGAAGAGTCCGGGTAATTCAGTTGTGATGTAAACGGTACAGGTGGCCAGAGTTCCCTTACTAAGGTCACCGGATCAGGAGTAAATGAACTTAACACCAGGAAGCAGTACGCACTAAGCAAAAAGCACTATCTCCGGAAAGAATGCCCTTTCTAAAGATATATTTTTTGAGAACGTTTACAAGAAAATTCGATATTTTTTTCAATAAGCAGACACGAGGTTGTCATCATAGAATTTATTAGGATACAATGGGTGACTTTTCGGCGGTTTCACCTTCTTCAGAGCCTGGAAAGACCAAATTGAGATGTGATCTACTCAGCCAAACACTTTCACAACCCTAGCAGATAAAACTTAACAAATAAATTTGTATTCGCATAAGAAACAGCCTCATTTAAACACCTACCGCTTATTTCTTGCTAGTATTTAAGTTAGTTGATGGATAGCAGTCGCACAGAGTAATACATGGGCGATAACTGTGTTTGTGTCAGGTCACCGGATTAGTCTGAGGTATGGCGCCAGGTCACGCGTGATAACAAGACAAGAGATTTGTTGGTATGCGCTTGTGCTTAAGCAACTGGTTGAGGATTAGATTTATAAACCAAGCAATTCTATCCGTAGGCCGTCTACACAACTGAAGTTGGGTCTAACTTTAAAGGTGGACGGGTCGGCAGACGCCAACTCATTGGCGGATATTAACTTATGGGTCTTGATAAGTAAGTGTAAGACGGGACAAGTCGGCACTTCGATCTCAAGATGCGAAATGTCTGCTGGTTTCAAACCAGCTGCGCTTGCCATTTCAACCCATTCGTTGTTCAGTTTTCGATTTTGATTTCTGAATTCCTTTTCAGTAGATGCGCGATAAAGAGATGCGTCTTCAAGATGTTCTTCCGTTATATCGGCATCTAACTGGCGAGGAATTACTACAAACTCTCCACCCTTATCACTAACTCCTACTCCGAAGTTCGACTCCGAAGCAACGCTAGAATTGAGACACGAAATAAAAAGAAACAACGAGAAGTAGGGGCACTACCACCGCCTCCATTTCCTCGGTTATTCTTTAGACAGCAAGACCCAAACGACGAAGTAGATATAAAATTTCGTATATTTTCGAGCGAAACACTCAAAGTCCTTAACCACTATCGCGCGAAAAAGTTTAGTTCGAACCTTATAGCTGCCCAAAAATCTGGTATGCGACAGGTTCGAGAGCTAATAAAATCAAAGACTATTAGGCTATAAGTTCCACTTATCAGTTATCACGTGTCACTATCCTTGCGCACGAATCAAAAACATCAGCGCGTAAAACTCTTGAAGCGCTTTGGATCAATCCCAAAAATTCAAAAATGAACTGTACGGAGGAGTGCTTGTCATCACGCGTTACTTAGCGCCATACCTCAGGCTAATCCAGTGACCTGACACAAACACAGTTATCGCCCATGTATTACTCTGTGCGGCTACTATCCATCAACTAACTTAGATACTTACAACAAATAAACGGTAGGTGTTTAAATGAAGCTGTTTCTTATGCGATTGCAAGTTTTTTGTTATGTTTTATCTGCTGCGGTTATGAAAGTGTTTAGCTGAGCAGATCTCATCTCAATTTAGCCTTTCCAGGCTCTGAAGAAGGTGAAACCGTCGAAAAGTCACCCATTGTATCCTAATAAATTCTATGATGACAACCTCGTGTCTGCTTATTGAAGAAAAACATCGAATTATCGATCGATGCCGAGGTTAACAGAAAGTGGGTCCTGTGCATTGTTTACAGGAAAGATTTCACAGGTGACACAACTTACAGCCACGGCAACTCCTCTCACAAAAATCAAGCAGTTGTAGGTCACGTGCAAAATTCAGAGTTGTGGTTGAGGTTAATTTCCTTTTTCATTATGATTTGCGCCAAATTAGGAAAGTTATCACCGACATCTTCATGGACAGATGTTTGCGTCGTTTATTGCCACGAAATGGAGTACCGTTCATTCGTATGCGCGTTTGTTTCGCTTGGCTCTTTGAACAGATTGTCAGCTAAGGCATTAGTTGAAACAGAAAGGAAACCACTCTGCGCATCCCATTTTCGATATACCCACACTACCAAGCAAAGCTGAAAGCGAAGAGGATCATCACAGAGCAACATGAAAACTTGCCGAAGAATTAAATATTATAATGGTTAACTCATTTGGATAGACATCAATAACATCTCTGATCCTTATTAACACGTCCAAGCTGCTCAATGATCACCATTCTTTTAATGCTTACGTGGCAGTGTGACCTCTACATAACCTATCTGTAAGGAAAATTGCACCCGGTATGACTTTTATAGAGGTCATCCTAGTTCTAGGCGTTTATATTGGCGCACAGAATCTTTTCCTAGACTTGTAGTCAATCGATAATTCATAGAACGCAGATATAGTGGCTAGCGCCGGGCGAGAAAAACTCCATTCCATACTTAGAAATATACAAAAACTTTTTCTCGGACGAGTACACTTGTAATATGAAAGGATAATTAAAGGCAGGGTAACTGAACCTTGTTTTAATTCTAAACACAATGATAAATTTCATAGTTTTCGTTACGAATGCGCGAATATAGAAGTATAAAAGTAGACTCAGGGTAAACTGAAAGACATATCTAAATGGTGATAGTAATGTGTTTGTATAATGGACGATAGGAACGTGTAGTAAGCAGAAACATATGCACCGTTCGTTTCGATAGTCTTATGTGCATGTTCTCAACCCCACAAGTCTTCTGGCTATCGAAGTACATATTTGGATACTTGGATGGTACATCTTCACTGGTTATGCGAGCCCCAGCATAATTTCGTTTCTCGGAGCTCTGCTGGTTTGGGCATTGCGGCTCCCTGGACTCCCAGGTCAGCCCAGCCAGTCTGCCCCACGTCGTCACCACCACAGGCAGTCCTCGCCCTTGTGGATCAAAAAGAAATTTGCTACCACGCAACTAGTTTGATACCAGGACGGTGGTGGATCCTGGTATTGGTTTGCGCTTAGTTGGGCTTCTTCACGGAAACGCCGGACTCCTTTTCAGCAAGGAAGACTCTGCCGGGAGGATGAATCCTCCAGCTGTACATTGCATCCTGACACTTAAGAACACCTCCCAGCCACAACGAGCGGATAAACCGTTACCAGGTTATCGAAATATTATTGGCTATTTTAGAAAAACCATGTGATCAGCAACTACCTGAAATTAGACATTATTTCATACGGTAGTCACGCAAAATTAGCCGTCATCACCTAAATATTCCTAAATATTAGTACGAGTACTTCTACATAAATGCGTAGTGAGCTGATCTAAAAGTGAAATGATCTAAAGTAAAAGTCTAATTCAAGCTTACGAGATACGAGAAGCAGAGACGAGACGTTATAAGAACATAAACTTATTACCTGTACTTGTATGTGTAGGTGGTTTCTTCTCCGAAAACTCTAAGAGAGCAAACCAATACCAGGAAACACCACCGTCCTGGTATCAAAGTTGCATAGTGGTAAATCTCCCTCTGATCCACAAGGGCTGTGACTGCCTGTGGTGGTGAAGAGCTAGTGGAGACTTCGATCAGGCTGACATCGGGACTCCAAGAAACCACAACGGTTTAACCAGCAAATCGCCGAAAAGTGGAGACTATGCTGGGGCCCGCACAGCCAGTGATGACTGGTCATTCAAGTGTCGAATGTCAACTTACGATGGCATACTGATGTGTGAATTCAGGGTTTTTATTCTACCAAAAAACTAGGCTATAATTTTCCGACCCCAGAGAGACTGCTTCTTTGGTGAGACCAAGTCTTAGAATCGAACCAGCGACCGACATAGGGGATATTACAGCTCTTCTCTAACCACTAGGCTACACGCACACGTCAGAGAGGAATGGTCGTGAAGATTGATTCTGCATGCTGAATTTTCTATTTTGACAGCCAGATGACCCGTTTTCAAATGTCTCTAGGGTTCGCTTTCATCTACTTTTTCCGCTTTCATTTGTTTCGTGGGCTTGCAATCGCCTTCGACAAAGCTAGTCGGATTTAAGTGGTGGTGGTGGGCGGTTCGGCTGCAAGTTGACGATTTATCACCTTCTCTCTTCAAGAACAGCACGTTGAATGCCAGTCATGCGTGATTTTCCCTGCAAAATTAGAATAGCCGTGCTAAATTGTTCTAGATATTCATCACAAGTTTTCATCTGCCTTTACGATCATTTATATTGTTGCTTCGATTCTGGGATTCATCCTGTACAGCATAGTCTCGTGCGGTTAGTCGGACCCATTGAATAGGGACCGTACAACGGGCTAAATTTTTAAAAATTTCCAATTAATTTTTTTCTCAGAAATCTCATGTATCTCGTGTTAGCAACAAGAAAATAGATGCTGGCCAGTCATGCCGAAGTTGAGGGAAAGTCTGTTCTTGAAATCGTGTCCACTCATTGTTAACTAGTCGAAGGTCTTTTGAAAATTTTTTTGTCATATTTTCAGTGAATGAATTCACTTTGTGGTAACTTGAATATGGCATTTAAAGAAGTAAAATTGAAAAATGAAGAACTCAGATTAATAGGCGCTTTACCTTAAACTTTGGGCCTTTTTGCTTCGAGTTGATCAACGTCGTGGATCTCCAGACTAAAGAATATCGTATCACGTAGTTTCACTAGGACGCCAAAAAGGTGCTGGAATGGAGCCCTTGCTCTGTTTCGCCAGGTTGACATATACCTTCTGTATGAAGTGCTCACCCATGCCTGTTTGAGCAAGCTTAACGGTATCCGGACTATATTCTGCACTTCTTTCGGCCAAAAATTTGCTCTCAAGTGGCTGAGAAAAACAAGGGTTTTGGATCGAATCCATCAACAAACAAAAAAGGCCACCACACTGACACAACACGACGAGCTGTCAAGTATAAAAATGGCCATAACGTAAAGGAAGCATGTGGTGCAGTGGTTAGAAGCTTGTTGTAATATACATGTGGTCTCTAGACCGATCCCTCACCCCAGTCTCGCCAGACATTCGGTCTCTTCGGTGTCACGGAACCAGCCGAATCAGCGAGGATAAAAAATTCTGAACTGATGCATCGGTAGGCCACCTCAATTCATTTTATAGGCCAGATATCCATTCGGTCACTTCTCACGGTGCTTGATGAACTCGAATGCATGACGCATCCCTCCACGATTTATCAACGATGAACGCTCCATTCTTTTCTCTTTTAGTTATCAGGGCAGAATATGGCAGGATTAAAGTGTGATTTTCGTTGTGGAGCGTACCGAACAGCACTATAAAGGAGTATAAAAAGACTTGTAGCATGAGACTAAATCGCCTAATGATTAAGTGTTTGTCTCGTTTCTTTTTCAACTCATCCGTTGTCAGATATTTCTTGTCTAGTACTGTCTTAAAGCGATAATGTTAATTCTCTACTCTGGCCATTGTTCGTTATTAACCAGAGATGGTGTTTATTGGAAACAATCTCTCCGAAATTTTCGAAAAGCACTTTCTCTCGTCGTTCTTTTCTTGTCCGATCACCTGTATCAACTGTAGTCCCGTTGATTGTCGAGTGACTCAAGCGGGCGCCAGTAAATCTTCCATTTTTCCCTGTTGCGTGCAAGTGTAGCCCAGTGGGTTCTGCTCGCTCTAGGAACTCGTTGAGTATCATATCTATTCATCAAGGCTCTTTGTGAAGAACTCTGACCATCGGGTCGGTGGTCTTTTTGGAGTATGTTTAAAATCCCGAAGAATCCAGTCACTAACGCCTCTTGTCCACTGGTTGTCATTCATACGCATTACGTGTCCGGCCCACCTTATCTTCGACTGTTTGGCGTACAGAACGGCATCTTTGATTTTTGATCGTTGACGCAGATCGGAGCTTCGGATCCCATCCCTTATTTGTGTGGAACAGGATACTCCTAGCATCGCCCTTTCGACTGCGCGTTCGATAACGCTGAGTGAACCTTCATCCTGCTTACGCAGCGACCAGGTTTCTGAGGCATACGTTAGAGCAGGAAGTGCCACTGAGTCGAAAAGGTGGGCACGGAATGTCCGATATATCAATCAATGTTATTGAACCTTTCCTAGGAAAGTATGAATCGATTGGTCTAATCTTTCGCAGTGAATCTGCTTATTTCAACTATCAGGAGACGGAACTGCTCTCGAACTTCGCAATCTTACTTTTCTAAATCAAGAAAATCCGGGCAAAGTAAAGAAAGCTATGAGAGAACAAGACTTTGCAACGTTGGAATTTTTGCGAGATCGCCATTTTGCCGAGCGACAAAGAATGCGGACATTTGGAAGGTGATATTTTCCATAGTGTCTGTTATATCTCAGCCCCATACAGCAACAGCGTGGAGAAGAAGCTTTACACATTAAAAGATCCTGAAGAAAAGGCATACAAATGATAGTCTTCACCAAGAACTTGAAATCCAGTCCATTTAGTCATAAACTTCAGAGCTTTTGAATAAATAGAGCCTTAGCCAAGCCAGCACTTTTTCGCTACGCTTAATCTCGTTTAATATCTTTTCATTCACATCCACGTTGGTCGTATTTACTTAACTATTGGTGTGTGAAATCGACCCCCGCATCCGCGCCCACCAAGCCTTTCATCCCTCTGGGGTCGGAAAATAGGTAGCAGCCTTGTCTGGGAGGACAGCATCACTGGCTCGATTTATCGGTAGACCACCGCGAGTCATTGTGAAGGCCAGATATGCATTCAATCACTTCCAAAGATGTTTTGTGAAGTTGAATGAATGGCACATCCCTCAAAGATTGATCAATGACGACATCTTTTATTTATTATCCTTTTATTATTACTGGTATACAAGTTAGAAACAGTACATTTTTGTAGAACACAGTCGAGTAGAACAACAAATACCTTTTACGAAATTGTTCACTCATACACCCGTGATATGAAAAAAGATGGAAAATACGAGTGATAGTTTCTTTTTGAATAATGACGTTCATACAATCACGGCATGGATAACCAGTATCTTATTCTCTATCAACTTCTGTTAGTCACCTGAACAGAGCAAGGTATTGGCAAGTCAGTACTAACGATAATTGATTACGGTACGGGAACTTTATGGCCGTTGATTGTTGATGACCGAATGATATCAGTGACGTGTTGTATTTGCGTAGATTGCCGGCGACAGCTACAAACGCAGTACAATTTGGACGGGACGAGTTGTACTGTCCCTGTAAATGCACTTTCCAATAGAAATATCTTCTTATATTATACATTGTATTTGAGATACATTGATGATTGGTCAAACTCTTTCTATGGTAACTATTCCCGAATAGTTATTATTTTCGATGCTATGTTCCTTACAGTAACTATATTTATTGGTAAGTACACCACATTTATTCTCTCGCTGCCTACGATCTTCTCAGTCGAACGTACTGTTTTCATCTTCTCTATAGAATATGCACTTGTTTTGCACTGATCAGTGCTCTTCAAAGGGCGAAACTCCGTCACCGGCTCTTCAAACGATCTCCTCAACTACTCTAGATAAACGCCACCTATGGTACTACAACCGACTTCGTCGAGCAATTCTCTCCACAGCTTCACTACCAGTTCCTTCGACCAGAACTCCTACAGTATCCTTCTTAGTAGTGGTCTTTGTATTCCTAGCGGCTCTGGATATTGCTATACCGTTAATTATTACTGCTATTTTTGCTGTAAAAGAATATAAGACAAACTTGAGATTGTGTCCTGTGACAACAAACTGACCTAACAACTCTGACAACTAGCCAGCCATTCAAACTATATCATTGTAACTCGTATATAATGCTGACCCGGATGGTGTGGTGGTGAAGTGCGCTACTCCCCTGAAAGGACAATAGCGCGCGTTCGTTCCCCACCGCATACACCTGGGGTCCGAAGTTCTGCAAATATCTTAGCATTATATACGAGTTATATTTCGCAACATACCATGCCATCAAAAAGAAAAAAGGCAGTAAATAAAAGGGTTAAGATTATATCATTGTAGTTGTTTATATTCTTGTTTAGCAAACACGATGTGTTATTTTAATCTTGATTGCTATGAAGCTGACGTTTCGACGGATTCTGCCTTCCTCAAGGCCTGGAAAGCTTAAGTTGACCGCAATCTATCCAGCCAAGTACTTCCATAACCAGACGGAGAAAATGGTAAAGCATCGTCATACATCATTGTAAACAGACTTTCATTCAACTTCGGTATAAATGATTAATGTACCTTGCTTCATTGATACGTCAACACGAGGTTGTTACCAATATTTATTCGGCTAACGTTTCGACGTCTTCGTCTTACTCAGAGCCGATGATCCGAGTCGATGGTCCACAGTTGTTTCTCTTTTCGATGTGGTGTCTTTGTCTTCGTATCGAGTCGGATCTTCTCTGGAGTACAGCTGGAATGAGGCAACCTCGCCCGGCAATGATTTTTTACAGAGGACGGTTTTGGTTAATAATGACTATCCGTTGGTAATAATTTGTTTTTCAGCTGACAATCCATCCTACAACAGTCGGTGTTATGTTAGACAGCACATCGCTAATTATATAAAGTATATAACTATGTGATTTATCAATGAAACAAGGTATCATTTATTCACTCATTCATTCATTCATTCATTCATTCATTCATTCATTCATTCATTCATTCGTTCATTATGATCATTTATACCGAGGTTAAATCGAAGTCGGTTCACAACGATATTACTTCGCTAGGTGCAAGCTTATCTAATAGCACTGCTGTACGATAGATTACCCGTTGAAAAACAAATTACTATCAACCGATAGTCATCACATCACCAACAAAAACCGTCCTGTATAAAACGGCTTGGCGCGTGAACTTGCCTCATTCAAGTGGTGATTCGATTCACTGAACAAGATCCAACTCGATACGAAGACGAACACGCCACAATGAGAAGACGAACGACTGTGGACCATCGACCCGGATCATCGGCTCTGAAGAAGGCGAAGACGTATATGAATCAATGAAACAGAGTGTGTTCAAACTATATTCCTATCATTGTGAAAGCCGCCACGTTTATTTGGTGCATTGGCCTAACCACTGCAGTTCTATGCTACACTTCCCAATCATACTGTTCATAGCGTTCATTCAACCCATAGCGATTTTTTCCACCATTCCTAAAACCAAGCCCTTCCATAGGTTTTTCATTTCTACAGAACCAATAACCTTCTTCTAAGTGAACTACCAGCAGCATTGAGGCGAAATGTTATTAGTAGAATCGATATCTATTAGTCGTTCGGGATGTCTAGCATTTATTTCGTTCAGTATGCTTCAGTACTGTGACTATGACTCATCGAAAAGCATATGTTATAGAGATCCTCTAGGGCACGTCAATTCTTTTCTTTTACTTTCTGTACTCATTCTGAAATTATTTTTTTATCTCTCTATTTTGTTGCTTTCCTGTATATTTCTCCTCATTTTGAAAAGGAAAAAGATGCTTTTTTTCTTCTTTCATTTTTGAAGTGTGTTTTCGTCTGAGCATTCCTTAATTCTTCGACCACTGATTCTTCTTCATTCTATGATTCATTCCTAGCAAAACCCCTTCATTCTTTTCTAGTTTGGTCCGCTTTTTCAGTTATTGTTCGATCTGTATATTCCAAGGACTTTTCCCGTCGAACGTTTGCTACTTAAGGATAACTCGTGGTCCCGACCCAGGGCAGCAGATAGTTTAGTGGCCACTAAAGTTGAGCATGGAGGTGTCGTCGTTCCTATTGGGATTATTCATGGTATTCGTGATATTCTTGGCTTTACGATGGTTCGCTGAGCTGTTCGAAATTGGCAACCTGGAGAACAAAGCCGTTTTCATTACTGGATGCGATAGTGGTGAGAATTTCAAAACTATTTAAGAAGTAACTCCCACGACCGACTTTCTATTAACCTCGGCATTGATCAAGTAATTCTTCGCATTTTTGTTGAGCAAACGCGAGGTGTTATTATTCTTTATTCACAAATGAGCTGACGTTTCGGCGGATTTCGCCTTCCTCAGAGCCGCTTTCTATGAGGTCTCCACTAAGTATGTCACGTAGAGACCAACCGCACAGAAATCACATGGAAGTATAATGCGTACATTATACATATTATACGTACATAATACATTATACTTAGTGGAGACCTCATAGAAAGCGGCTCTGAGGAAGGCGAAATCCGCCGAAACGTCAGCTCATTTGTGAATAAAGAATAATAACAGCTCGTGTTTGCTCAACAAAAATACGAAGAATTATTTAAGAAGTACTTTTTTTCGACTGTCGAGCTGAAAAGAGGATGGTATAGAAGTATTTATTCGGTTAACGCTGCGACGTCTTCTTCTTCTTCAAAGCCGGATTGAACTCAGTGGATGATCCACAGGTGGTCGACTTCGCGTTATGGTAGCTCATTGTCGCGACGAGTCAAATCCAAAAAAGTGGGGCACGGGTTTTTCATTAGATCGGATCAGCACGACCACCTGCGGACCATCGAGTGGGATCAATTCTTCTCTAGAGAACACGAAGACGTCGAAACGTTGTCCGAATAAATATTTTGCACCACCTTCGTGCCAGCTCAATAAGCCATGAACGTATTGGTCATTTACACTAATGTTAGATAAAAGTCGGTTTTTGAAGAAGTATTCAAAAATAATTTCGAAAGCCCGACTTTTGGTTAATCCAGACGTTAAGGCCAATTATATTCCTTTTATGGGTCTTAATTTATGCACTAATAAAAGATTGCTAACTATGTTAACTTTTTATTTGCTGTCTACTATAATTTTTCGCAGCAAGGTATTATATGAAATGCAACGACAACGATGCTGAGATATTCGCAAACGTTAGACCCCATTTCAGATCGAACCATGATTACCCTTTCCAGGTGGTTGCGTGTTACCCACTGCATCACTGAGACACCGTTAGGTAGAAAATTACCTGAGAGAAAGGAAACGCAAGTGCATCAGTCACCCAGTGTGTAATACGCGAGCACCCGAAAAGGGTAATCGTGGTTCGATCTGGCCTAGGGTCAGAGTTTTGTGAATATCCCAACACATAATTGTGATTGCTATTTTTAATTGCGTTCTTATGTGGTTTTCGGATTTTCTATTTTCAATAGTTAACGTTTTAACCACTTTTCCTTTCTTTACAGCCTAGATCAAGATGTGAAACAACCTGCGTACTTCAACGATGTTGAGATATTTGCAAAATTCCGGACCGCTGTTGTATGCGGTGGGGAACGAACACTCGCTGTTGTCCTTACCGGAGAGCAGTGCACTTCACCACCACACCATCCGGGTCCTTCGTTTTGCCTGTCACTCAGCTAGTTTTATCGATCTTTTGCCATCAGCAATCACCCGTCAGTGGGATTGATCTCAGCATCGTTGAAGTTATATTTCACAATGGATACCCTGCAGTTAAAAAGAGTAGGCAGTAAATAATAAGTTGAAACCTGCTTACTGTTTTAGTTTTTAGTTACTGCCTATTCTTTGTTTTTTGTGGCAGGATGCGACATGAAATACAACCACAGGGATGCTGATATATAATGATGGGGTAAAAAGAAGGCTGAGAGAAAACCAAGGCAAAGATCCCGTGAGGGTGGAGGGTAGCACGTGAACCCCAGTTAAGAGTAGTCGCAGGTTGGAAGCGCAAATTAGACCGCGAGTTTTGAGCATTTCTCGGCATCCTCGTGGCTAAGTAAGTGTGTGTATGTGTATGTGTGTGTGTGAAAATTAATGATCTCAAGTCAACAACGTAGGGCAGTTTCATTCCTTAGAAAATGAGGAGACTGAGTGCTTTTTAGTAGATTAGGTTTTAGATTGTGCATTAAGTTTTCACCAAATATTCGCGAAATATGTCTGTGTAGCAGTACATCCGAGTAGTGTAGCTCAGTAGTTAGGGTTAACCTAAAATACACAAGCGGTCGTTCGTTTGACATGGCGCCCTGAGATTTACCGACCCTTCTATGCCTCAGTGGTCGGCAAATTGGTATCAGAGTTTCCTGGGAGGGTGGACTGGATACGTCGATACCCTATCGCAAGTCACTGTATGTTCCAGATATGGGCTTAGTCGCCTCTTACGATCCTTAATGAAGTCGATTGCATGGCGCATTGCTCAGAAATTGGTCAACACCGAACGCTTTGCTCCTTATCCTTTCATGCTAACCTCGTTCGAGTAAATGTTGGAATTATTTAAGAGAATGAACCTTCAGCGTTCTTTTAAAATTACTTCGAGATTTTCTCACACACCAATCTTAAGTTCTTATTCATTTCACAGTACTTCCTAAGATATTCTGTTGTACGTCTTTCATTCCTGCAGCATATTGTTAGCAGCACTGCGATCTCTTGAGTAGTATCTAGATGTGTGGAATGTCTGCAATCACGATACTCGGCCCTGTTTGCCCGTAGAGCAAACAAATTACATGATTAGCGTGCTAAAAGGAAAACACGCTCTTATCAGAACATGACACATTAGACACATAAACACAGCGATTGAAGGTGCCCTGCGATACACACTGGTTCGTTGGTTCGATCCAACGCCCGAGTCAAACTAAACTCAATATCTCTCCGCAGATTGGTTCCTGGAGGTTATGTAGGACGATGAAAATACTGACCTAATAATTAGTAGGCTCTCCTAAGTGATTGGATATGGTAAATATGGATGAACTCAAGTCTACGATGCTACGAATGGAAGCAAGTGCATAATGAATCCATTAATGGAGAATTTATCAACGGTGAACACTATATCCTTTAGCTCTTTACTAGAGCAAGATATGGGGTTGGAATATTTTTGTTCAAACTCCTTTGAATGCTTTATATTCAAGAGAATAAATACCAGAAACTAGTAAGCTACTACTACATTTGCTTGCAAAAGCTGAGCGAAAGGCTAAAGTAAAGACAAGCATGGTGTGCTGGTGAATGCGTTACCCCCCGGAAAGGGTAGTAGCGCGTCCTCACCACAGACACTTGCGATC